TCTCTCTCTCTCTCCCCCCCTCCCCATCCAAGTTCATGGGAGTCCTCGAGGATAGTGTAGGGATGTCGCTCAGTCAGGCGCTTCACTGGCAGAACGGTGCCCGTAAAGCTCGATTCCCTGCGACATCAGTGAGACAACAATGCTCCTACGACTCGGAAACGCAGTGGAGACCTTGCAACGGCAGCGGAAACCAGTTTGCCCATCTGCTCGCCACCCCCATCAGACACTGCCTGCAGACGTCCATTTGTGCAGCAACGTGCGGGCTTGTGTTGACATGCCTACTCATGTGAGTCAGATGAGCATCGCCAGACCTCCTTCAGGGACGAAGCAGCTCCCCGATCGGAGGCATCCATAAATCCCGATGCCTGTCACACAGAGAACTCTTCTTACAAAATGATACCACCAATATTTACAAGGGGGTTGAAGTGCAAGTTGCAAGCTTGTTACAAGTCATGCTGTTTATCTGGCACTCGCTCACATTCTAACGGAATTGAACACGTCTTGACCCTTGCCTGCCAAACCTCTGCGGCTGCTTGCAAGCGGGCGCGAGTTGTAAAACCTGCCGGGGCAGCAATGTCATGCATTGTTACTCCACAGCCGGTATGAATCACCTTTGAGATGCAATAAGGGCCTATGCAGTGACCACCCTCCTTCAGGACTGGGAAGCAATCCACCTGCCCGCATCTGTCCGTCGATGCCGAGCACAAATAGTGCCTTGTAGTGCCTTGTCCTGTTGTAGGGCAGCCTGGATCGTCCGGAAATCCACCTCGAAGCAGATCAAATCCCTCTGTAAACTTGCACGGCCTTCCAAGCTGGGCCTCTGCAGCAAGTACTGCCTCTGGCGGCAGGTCATCACATAGTTCCAGGGCCACTGTGCGATCCATCGACCGTGGGGGTTCTGCCTTAGGCATGCAAGTGCTGCTTGCCAGGGTAGCTTGTGACCGTTTGTTGCTGTGCTTGCAGGCAATAGGTTGTTTCTTGCTGCGACAGCCCGGCTACTGGAGCATCATGATCTCTTTTCGGCGTCGGAAAAATAAGCACCATGGCCTTTTGGGAGGTCGTCTGTCCGGGTCAGTGAAAGACCCCGCCCGAAACCCCCACACTGCTTGGCCTTGCACCCACACACGCACAGAAAGGCTTGGCTGCTAGCCAGCTGTAATACTTCTTCTGACAGGCTCACGGTTTGGGACAACACTTCTTAACACTTCTTGACTCGAGCCGTCAGACTGGCGCTTTCCACGCTGATGCTGCATCCGCCTTTAAGTCCAGCACCGGCAAGTATGCAATCGCCTTTCGCAAGATCTGCTCCTGCCAAGTTCTCGCTCTGTGAAACCGGAGCGAGTCTGCAAAGGGCCTCGTCAAAACCTCTTTCGTTGATCAGCTTGTTGAGAAGCAATGAGATGGTGACCTCGAGATTCAAGTCTCATAAAGCTCCAGGGCTCGTTGACTTAGGCAAAAGGAAGACGGGAGGGGAACTGCCAGCATCAGTGGTACCACCAGCCCAAGATCGTTGGCGGCTCCTGCTTCGTTAGAGATAGGAGCCACAGCTCTTTTCTGTGCCACTGTGCAACTCTCAGGAGGCGCCCGTGATAAAGACGACCACTGCGACGGCCATCTGCTTGAAGCCCGCGAGCATCGAGGCACTCCCCACCATGGCATACACGCCGGACCTCAGAGGACGTAGAATGCTTCTTCTGATCCTGACCTCCTTTGGAGACGACCGAGTTTCGGGCACGGCCATGCCAGGCTTGCCGTAATCTCGAACCAGGGCCCCCATCATTCGTCCAATCAGCCTAAGCCAAGCTTAGCCGACAGCTTTGTGCAGCTTTCACTTTGGCTCGGTTGATCTACTAATGCTTCAACCCAGAACTGATTCCATAGTGGCGATCAGCATAATTTCTCAGCGCTCGGCCCCCCGATCAGCATGGAGCCGGTGAAGTTACCGGAAGGCACCGGCACGCCTGCCACACGGACGCCGATCGCAGTTTTTCAAAACATCGTGACGATGCTGGGGCACCTGTCAGTCCGATGTTGAGGCTTGTGTAAGACACAAAAGCCAGCAGCTCGTTCCTGCTCATACAAGAACAGTTGCTTTTTCCACAACCACCTGTTCGCAAACCTATTCATCTGTTTTAGGAGTCTGGCCTAAAATGGATTTCATTGGCATCGTGCCTGGCATCTGAGCAGCTCGTCTCCGGGCTGCAGGTATTCACGTTAAATAAGCTCCAAAGCCCACCTGGAAAACAAGCGCTTCACAGCTCCTTCGGAGGTTGTGAGCAAAAGGGATGCCACGGGATTGTACTTGCCCTCCTGCACAACAGAAAGGCGAGGCAAGCGTGCTCAAAAGTCTACTGCACCGCATGCCTCACAGTCGTAGCGCACAAACTCGGCAGCGTCTTGCGCTGTGTGCTTACAGTTCGCCTCGGCTGGAAGCGGGCACCCTGGCGCATCATTGCAAACTTGCTGGGAAGGTCGATCATGACAGGGGCAGACACCGACAAGGCCACGAGCGAGTAGGTCCTGAGCAAGACAAACCCCAAACAGGTAACAAGGAAAGCTTCAAAGCACCCCATAGTTCGCCCAGGTGCAATGCCACGAGTCCACCGTACAGAACAGCATCCGCCATTTTGTTGTATGGCTGATATGCAGCAAGTCTGGACATCAGCTTCTGCCTGTCACAGCACTCAGACAATGCAACGATAGAACATACGCACGTGTGCGCTCACACTCGCAGCTCCACCAAACAACACCAGCGCCGGGTGCACTTGAAATGAACAAGTCCCGACTCGTGTCCACGACAGCGCCATTTGCAGGTCAAAGTGGCTGTGGACACAGGCATGTTGGTCATGTTGATTGCAATGGGTCCAACGTGGGCAGCATTGCGAAACCCTCGAGCCTCGCACTCGCCACCGCCAGGCAGGCTCGCGTGTGGAAGGCGCTGAAGGGTCCGATAAGAACTGCCTCAGCGACATTCGAATGTGGCTGCGCAAATACAGTGATTGGCAAAACGAACAAGTTGCAGACCAGCACCGTACGTTCTGAGTCAAGCTTCAGTCTTAGCGCTATAGTCGCATGGTGCTTTGGTGCGCTTTGGCACCAGGACTTACACGAATTCTCCATAGTCTGAGATCTACATTGTCTTTATCATGTACCAGCCGGGCTTTCTCCCAGACCGTCTCCATCGTCCTCTGACTCAGATGATCGCAATGCCCACTCGGGGCAGATCCACTCGAAACCCCTCATGAAGCCTCGGCCGGTTCCGACAGAGACAGCATACAAGCATGCGTGAAGCATGCGTGAAGCATGCGTGAAGCATGCGAAGCAGGGGCAGCGTAAGCTTGCAGCAGAACTCGCTTTCCAGTAGGCGCCAGTGGCCATCGATGACCAAGCCCTGCTGCAGCTGGCTGCCAAGGCCTTCTGTCGCAGCAAACAAGAACCCATGTCTCCAAAACTAATTTTGGTGTGCGGGCACCTGCATCAACCTCCCAAAGCACCAGGTCCCCCTGCACGATGGCCGTTACTTGCAAAGCGCCTCGAAGTCTGTACTGACAACAGGCCTCGTCGATCCCTTCGCACGAACCTGAGCCAGTAACAACGATCGCGTCGTGTCACCCAAACAGGCATGTGATGCAGCCGCGATGCGTAAGGCACGCATGTGCACGATGCTCACAACCTCGGCAAACTTGGTCTCCAAGAGGCGCATAGTCAGTTTCCCTCATCCCGAAGGAACACCCCTCCACAAACATGACCACGGAAACAGAAACCTTGCAGGCAGCACTCGGATCATCCGTGGGCTCTAGAAAGGCATTCGCCGGCATTCAGCCAGGCAGTGAAAGGTTCCGTTCACACACAACTCACGAAGCAACAATCCACTAAAAATACAAACAGAGTTCTCGGCATGCGCCCGGGGAGCTCCACTTGCTGGTGCACTGGAAACATGCAACGACCCCCCACCTTACCTGCCTCCACACCCTATCCTTAGCTGAACCTCGCGCAGCACTGCCGGACCTTCCCACCCCTCCTCGAAGCCTCACACTCAAGCACCAACGGGCAAAGGCAAGATTGAGAATAAAAACAACATGCACGCTCGCTCTCTCTCTCTCTCTCTCTCTCTTTCTCGCTCTCTCTCTGTTTATCGAACCTCTGCGTCTTCTGGTATCAGCTGTTCGTTCACGGGGCCTGCAATTCGAAAGCCTGAGGCAGCTGTGTGGAAGACATGATCAGCGGGAGAGCGGGTCAGGCTACGAAGGAAGATAAGAGGTGAGAGACAGGCAGCACGGGGAGACCCCATCACAAACTCACTCCCATGCACAGCCTCCCAAAACCCATGGCCCTTCGGTAAGCTATAGCCACGTATTTTTCTATTTATGCCGAAAACGCGATCGGCACTAGAAATGACACGTGTTGACCCACTCGAACCAAATTGTATATCATTGCAAAAGTCCTAAAATTGTAAAATAATTACCAGATAACTCCAAACGTCCTAGAAACAATGGAAACGTACAAGTCCAAATAAGTCCGAATATGTTTTAAGGATAGCCGCAACTACCTGTAACCGTAACATAACTAACTCCTTAACCGAAACAGGACTTATATGGACTTATGTAGGACTTAAATAAGTCAAGACAGATTTAAGACGAATCATGCTGCAGTGCATGCCTCTGGTTGCAGTCCAC